GGGATTCCAGCATTCTCAAAGTGCGGCTGTTTTACCTGCCTAAATAATTAACCATTCTTAAAAGTTCGCTTTATAGGTTTTATCTTGGGAAAGGATAATAGAACTCCTGCTTGAGCACAAAGCCGTTGAAGCACAATTTTTCAACGAGCAAACGGCGCCGCACTTTAGAGGCCTTTTGATCGTGACGGTTTCAAAGTCTCACACTTAAAAAAAGAAAAAAATTCACGTCGAAATATTTTTAATTGCTTGCTGAATATTCAGGAAGCTTTACAGGAGAAGCCCCTCCCTACTCTCTCTTTCAAAAGCCATCAAGGAGTTTTTTGGGGGGAGGGGGAAGTGACCTGTAAAATTGACTAGAAAAGAATCTTGTGTTTTGTGAAGGCCAGAACGAGCAGGGAATTGTAAGGGAGCCATTTAGTTTAAGTCAGTCAAGTTTTGATGCTCCTAAGCTGATTTAAGAATGTAAATATCTGCCTTATACGGAGTTTGATCATCAGTCGGACGATCTAACTCAGCATTGCCTCTGTTATAAGGCTTCTCATGCAATAAGAGAATAAAGCAATAATCTCAGGTAGAAGATGTCAAGATGTGCCAGCAAGGTATTGGAGAAGACAGATATGTGATAAACAGTAGGGCTGTGATGGGAACATTTGGTTTCCCCAGCATCATCTTGGGTTCCCAAGAATTTCTTAGCTTCTGAAAGAGCCTGAACTCATTGATTTACTTCCTCTTCCACCCCCCATCTTTCACATCTTGGTCTGAGTAGAAAGCTTCCAACTGCTGTGCAGCATAACGCCCTTTCGGGTGAATCCTGCGCAGGAGAGATGCCACCTGCTGTTTCTCCTAATGTGACATAGAGTACCTTCTGATTATCAGACTTTTTAAAATGACTTTAGGACAAAAAGTATGCCACCGTATCCCCTTTTTCCTCTTTACTGGTGTTCTTCATTCCAAAACATTGAAGAAAAACTCATTCTGTCCTGCATAGGAGTATTAGAGGTCCTGCACAGAATGGTACCTTTCCTGTACAGGATTCATTGCATCATGAATTTGGCAATTAAATAATTGGGACAGCGTGCCATATACCTCCAGTGCCTTGTTTGTTTCAGGTCTCCCTTAAAAAAAAAAAAAACCAGAGGATCAATTTAATGCCTCTTCCCTTCCCAAGTCTCTCCCTCCCTGCCAGGTTTTGTTACTGTGTGTACATTTTCCCTGTAAGTCGACAGAGGCTTATTTGCCAGCAAATCTCTGTACCTTTTCTATGTTTAAAGAAAGAGAGAAGGAGAAGAAAAGGAAAGAATAAAGGAACACCTTCAAATGTAAAAATTAGGGCTGACACACCTCATTGAGAAATTGCAAATGTGTCGCAAGAGCTTTAATGGATTCAATGGACAATTCATGGATCAGTCCTGCACATGTTTGCATATAAGCAAATACAATCAGTTATGCAAAGAATGGAAGGTTCACAGTTTTGCTTTTAGAGACTGCATCTTAGAAGAGGCATGCTGGGGTGATGCAGAAGTTAATCATGTCTATCTGTCCAGTATCTTCCCTCCCCAACACACACACACACACACCTGATTCATGATTAATCTGAATATATGGGGACAAGGCAGTAGGCTAGACCTGCCCTAGTCATGATCCTTCTCCCCAACAGCCAGAACCAGCATTGCTTGTTTGAGGTTCAGCACCTCAAACAGCTCCTGCAAAGTTTGGACGAAAACCCCATGTGGATTCACCAGCCCTGCTCATTAGAGTCATCAGCACCGTGAACTAAAGCATGTGGAGAACTGAACAAGTAAAGCATGCCGTCCACTCTTACTCTTGTGCAGAAAAAAACAAGCAAGATGGTTGGTATGGAGATTGTCTATGCTCTTTCTTCAAGTTCACCCTAAGCTGGACGCCTGAACAGGGGGCTTCACACACCAGGGCCGATGGACAATGTCCCATCTATTGAGATGGTTGCACCATCATTTGGGAGCATATTCCATTAACCTTAGTGGTGCTTCCTTCCGACTGTGTCTTCAGCTTGCTAACAAGCCTTTCAATTTGGAACTCAGCCTGGCTGGGATTTTAGCACTTGCATTTCTTGTCCCGAAGTAAGGTTTTCATCCAAGAGAAGGAAAAGTGGAAAGTATCTAAAACTTTGCTTAGTTCTTTTTCCTAGTTCTTCCATTTCCTATGGGCTGACCTGTCGCAACCGACAAGAAAAACTTGTAAGCCTCGTCATCCCCTCATTCACTTGCTGGAACAAAGAGGCCGCCACCCATTAGCCCGCCCCTCTGTCAGATGATGTACATGTGCCTGCTGTTAACATTTAGTGTTGCAGCTGTGTTCCCTTACATTGCAGGAAACAGCCTGCAACAGCACAGCTTCTATGTCTTACAAACAGGGGGAGATGCCTCTGCTAAGACGCCTTGTAAGCAACTGCTAAGAAAAATAAATAAATAAATTTAATTTTTAAAAATTACATTTTCACTTTCCAATTAATCGGGGCTACATTTCTCAGCGTTTGCAAAGCTTTTATTCAATTTATTGACTAAAGGTTGCAGGCTTAATCAGAATAGATTATTGTATGATTCAGCACAACCTGTATGATGAGGGGGGGAGAGAAATCTCATAAAGGTATTATTAAAATTGAGGATGCTGCGTAAACAATACTCTTGAACAAATTAACCACAGGAATGATTTTTTTTAATGAAAGAAAAAGGGAACCCTAAAGGGACATATTCGGCGGTATTTCTTATAAACAGAGATTACATTAGACCGATTCATTCCGAACCTTCGAAGGGAGCATAAATTCTAGCCGTAAGCAAGAAATGTCTACTGTGCTTTTACAAAGTGTTTTCTAGAAATAAAAATTTGCCCACCCCACCCTAACACAGTTTGTTTTGTTTTTTTACAACTCGTCGTCCCCATCTCACTGTCGCTGGTTCGACTTTCACGACTTTCTGCACGCCATCAGTGGGTGCATTCAAAAAAACCACCAAGATGTCTAGGTAGTTCTTTTGGGGGTAGACACAGAGCCTCGAATTTGACAAAACAAGGGAGAAGACAGCCAGCTTTTTCCTGCCCCTGATCCAAAGGATGGGATGTGGTTATCCTTGGTCCTCCAAAACAACTGGAGAACGTCCATCTATTGCTGGCTGGCTGCTTGACTGCTCCATCATCCATAAAACAGAAGGCATAAAGGTGAATACAAACATAAGAAAGTTTTGTATATATTTATATATATATATATAATTTTGTTCTCTGTGTGTATGGTTTTTTTTTTTTTACATATTGTCTTGCAGCCTATCCATATAATCTCTAAATTCCTGGGAATCGCCTAAGTTCATATCTTGGCAAACCCATTTGATATTATCGTCACTGTCGAAAAGAATGGAGTTGGTATACGGTCCACCATCTTCCGGCAAAATGGTGGTGTAGGAGGTGAATTTTACCCTTTTCCGCTTGGGTGGGTTTATAGCTTCACTACTGAGATCTTTATCACGGGCATAATCCGTCGACCGAAGGATCTGGTTATGGAGGTGTGTCTGAGAGCTGCCGTTGAGGAGGAAATTGCTCTCCTCAAACTGCATCCCGCGGTCTATCATGGTGGTGCACTCCTCTGAAGGCAAGGAGATGTCCACGGGGTTTTCTAAGAGTTCGACCTCATTGCCCAGCCATACCCAGTCGTGGGAATGAGGGATGTTTCCCTGTTCGCTGACCGCAAACCTCTTGTGCCTGTACTTCCAAGCGAACGCCACACAGTTAATTAAGAAGACCAAGATGGCCAGGCAGAAGACACACAAGAGAGCGTACATGCCAATCTCAAGATCCGTTAAACCTCTGGAAGCCAACGTGAGGTCACTGGGATGGTTCCTTTCAGGTGTATCTACCTGTATGGGAAAACTTGTGAAGGAAGTCGGGCTGTTCTGAAGCTGACCATCCTCATGAGTGTCTTTCTGATGGATGAGGGGCTTGGAAGTTGTGCTTTGGTTGGTGACCTCTTCAAGATCCATGGAAGCTCCCTGCTTGGACCAATCTTGTCCTGACCTCTCTTGATCCAAAGACTTCTCTACGGAATTGCCCCCATGGCTTTTAAAATCGCCGCCATCATCTTCGACATGGTTGGTGTCCCCTTTATGATCTGACTCCTTCTGGCCAAACTTGACCTTCAGGCTTCCCTTCCCGACAGCCAAGCTGCTCTTCCGCTTCGATTTCTGGCAAGCTTCACTGATGACCATTTCTATTTTGATGAGGGGCCCTTGACCTTCGCCTTCCGCCACCACCACTGGCCAGTCGCCCTCCTGGTTTTGATGGGTGGACACCACCATTTCATCCAGGGATGTAATGGTGAGGGAGAAATCGTTTGTGTCGTAGATGTCCAATGGGGTCACGGTGCCATCGCTGAACAAAATCCAAGCGCTGACCATGGCTTCCTAGAGCAAGAAGAAGGAAGGGAAGAGAAAGAATGAAGAACAATTGAAGGGGCCTCCAAAATGAAGGGGCAATCCTTTGTACCATTCCCCTGATATAAATCCCCCTCTCCAGGTGATACTGCATCTCTTGTTGCCACCAAAATGAAGGGGCAATCCTTTGTACCCCTCTCCAGGTGATACTGCATCTCTTGTTGTTTACATATACATCTATGTGTTTCTAAGGCTTTAGGTGTATTTACCATATTTTTCCATGTATAAGATGTCCCCGTGTATGAGACGCCCCCCACTTTTCTAACCCAAAATTAAGAAATCTAAGTGGGGCTTAGCAAGTGTAGGGGGAAAGGGATCAAGCACTGCAGGATCGCTTTGATCCCTGCTTTCCCCTCCCCTTGTTTTTTTCTCTCCTCAGCTTACTTCTGTGTATAAGACAACCCTCAATTTTTAGTCTAAAGATTTTAGACAAAAGTACAGTCTTATACATGTATTCTGTTCCTAATATTACCGTTTTTTGTAGCCCTGGTGGTGTTATTTCTGAGATCTGCAACTGCTTGTAAAATTATGTGAAATTTCTTGATATCGTTTCCTGTTATTATTTTTCAGAAACCCCAGACACAGTCAATCGAAACTAGAAAAACATTGACTGGTCTTATATAACGGATACAACTTTTAAACAAAAACCTAAGTGTCTGTTAAATATTGCCACAGTGTGTGTGCTGGTCCTAATATTGACGCTTTTTGTAACTCTGATGGTGTTATTTCTGAGATCAGATGATGATGATGATGATGATGATGATGATGTTGCCAGCCTTCATGATTATAAGTTCTCCTTCCTGAAGACTGGGATCCTTTGTCTGATGGTGTTATTTCTGAGAAGAGATGATGATGATGATGATGATGATGATGATGATCCCAGCCTTCATGGTTATAAGTTCTCCTTCCTACAGACTGGGATCCTTTGTTTAGCTTCCAAACAAGATTACATTTCTCATTCATTTATACGCACAGAGAGAGTTTGGTCTCGCTTTCCCTCACAATTCAAGACAACCCCCTAGCAGACCGGCTGCCCTTCCCACCTCAGAGAAACAGAGAATATTTGCAAAGACACGGCTCCAAAAAAATTAATATTGGAGCTTTTAGACCAAGACGTGTTTAAACATGGAAAGGTTAATGAGGGGAGAACGATCTTCCTCCCACAATAATGCATTATTTTTTAAAAAAATACTCAGAGACATTGCCTCCTTAACAAATGAACCTTCGAAAAATAATGCTTAATTTTAATATTTTCCTCCTGCTTGAATGCCTCAGAATCAATTTCAAGTATAAATGGTCAAATTTGTATGCAGGTGGGCTTCGCCGGGCTGCATCAGGAAACCCACCCGAATTCTGCACCTTAAATTATCTGTCAAAATATTATTTCCCTCAGCTTGCAAGATTTTTGAAATAATGTACCTGGGGCTTTTTTCCCCCATTTCCCTTTCTGTTTCGCTCATGCTGAGGGAATGTTTTAGGGACTAACCAACATTTGATATATATTTTTTGCCCTGAGAGGTAATGGGTCTGATCCAACAAGAACATTCACATAATTCCCTTTTTATTATCTTTATTATTTCGATATACAAGCCGTTGATTGTCTCATGTTTTTTTCTGCCACAAGGCAAGGCAGCAAAAATTCTGGCATTGCATATTTTCTGCAAGTCTTGGAGAGAATTTCGGTGTTCGTGAAAACACCTTGAGCACTAGAGCACTCAACACCTCTGAGGACGTTGATTCCGTTGTTGTGCTTCTCTAACAGTGAAGGTTTTTTTCCCTTGATATTCAGCCTAAACTAGGCTTCCTGGAACTTGTGCCCATTATTACATGTCCTGCACTCTGGGATGATCAAGTCTGGATGACTATCTTTCAAGTGTTTGAAAACTGCTATCTTCTCCCCCACCCCCCAAAGTCTTCTTTTCACAAACCTAAATATGCTCAGTTCTTTTAGTCTTTCCTTATATGGTTTGGTTTCCAGTCCCCTAAATCACATGAAGGCTAGCGAATTCTCAACTAGGGAGATGAACAATATTTGCTATAATTCCCAGTTCTTATCTTTTCCAGCTGTCTCAGCAGAACAAGATACCCTTCCGCACTTTTTCTGGGATCTATTACAGTGGTGCCTCACTAGACAATGATAATCTGTTCTACTGAAATCACTGTTTAGCAAAATCATCATCTAGCAAAAAGCATTTCCCCATTGGAATGCATTGAAACCTGAATCATCATTGTCTAGCGAAGATCGTCATTGTCTAGCGAATATCGGCCATAGGAAAGCCGCTTTGCGAACCGCCGATCAGCTGTTTAAATCGCTGTCTTGCGAAGCTTAGGTCCCGAAAACACCCGTTTTGCGAGCGCGGAGAGAGCTGTCAAAATCGTCGTCTAGCGAAAATTGGTTTGCGAAGCAGGGACCAAACATTGTCCAGCGAAATTCCCCCATAGGAATCACTGTTTTGTGAATCGCTATAGTGATCGCAAAAAGTCAATGTCTAGCGAAAAAACTGTCATGCGGGGTAACTGCCTAGTGAAAATCCACTATCTGGTGTCTGTAATGTTCTTGACAGCACAAGGTCCATTGTTCTGGAGATTTCCCCAACCAGCCGAAGCATGTGTTTAGACTACATCAGGCAGTCAGCTGAAGTACGTGTGACCTTGTCTTTTGCTTTTTTTTTACCTCAGCTGGTTTGTCTTGGAATGATAAACACTTTATTATTCTATGCTTCTAATTAATTTTTGATTCTGAGATTGTAATCCATACTCCACCTGCTTTAGCGAATGCAGGATATCAGATGCGGATGCGGTCATGACTATCACCCTCTTGTTCGCTTTATTCTTCTGGAGTGAGAGGGACAAGCCGGCCACGAGTTGTACCCCAAGGTCTGTGATGGTTACGCGGTTTTCCAGAACAGTCACAGTCTTCTCAGCCAAAATGGAATCAGAGAGAGGAGACAGGACCTTAAAGGGGAAAGAGCAAAGTTGACAACAATTCACAGTAAATGACTAGATCCCAATCCAGTGTTAGTCCCAACTAGAGGGGGACTAACACTAGAGTCCCCTGGACTGCAAGGAGAATAAACCTATCCATTCTAAAGGAAATCAACCCTGAGTGCTCATTGGAAGGACAGATCCTGAAGCTGAGGCTCCAAGACTTTGGCCATCTCATGAGAAGAGAAGACTCCCTAGAAATGACCCTGATGTTGTGAAAGTGTGAAGGCAAGAGGAGAAGGGGACGACCGAGGATGAGATGGTCGGACAGGGTCATTGAAGCGACCAACATGAACTTGACCCAACTCCGGGAGGCAGTGGGAGAAAGGGGTCCTGGCATGCTCTGGTCCATGGGGTCATGAAGAGTCGGACACGAATAAATGACTAAACAACAACAAGAGGGGACAAACTGAAATCAATAGGAATTAATAGGTGTGATTCATTTCAATGAGCCTACTCTAGTCAAGTGGTGAAATGGTGTTTCCTTTCTTGTAAGCTTGTCTGAAGTCAGATAATGAACTTCACGTTGGAGCAAGGATTTGGTACATGAAAGCTGGAATTTTAAATGTTTTAAACTCATTTCATATAAAGATTTATGATTCCTTGAATGATAAGTAACAGGTTGACTGACAATTGTACAGAGAGATGTGTACCACAAGTGGCAGCTATGACAGTTGAGAAGGGTGAAAGAATGTTTACGAATGGAACTACAAGCTGTATGGCTGATAGGGTTATAGCAACAGTGTAAAAAGGAACACTGGGTGTCTGCTTGGGTTGGTGGATGGGGGCAAACCCAAGTGTTCACAAGCTTAAAGGGTAAACCCAGACGATGTGCAGAAGCCTGGGGGCAGTTGTCATTTCAATGGCAGCACAACATGAAGAGAAGGCGCTCTGCTACAGAAATTGTAGAACACAAGAACAGGCTCTCTAACGCAAACAGGAGAATCCTTTGTCCTTCACACAATGCTCCGTTGTGCCAGTGTTTCTGCATCTGAACAGCTTGAGGAAGGAGCTAATCTGCTCCCTCCTCACAACCACCACCCTTGATTTCAACAAGCCTTCTTCACACTTTCCATTTGCCCAACGGAGATGGAAGGGCGCTGGTGGAACATAATATGCTCCACTAGTGCTCCAGCAGCATTCTCCCCCAAATGGTCCATCTTCCTTCGTGTAATAGACAATCTACTCTGCAGACAGACACTTCTGCACCTCTATATCCTCTTGCTTTGCTCAGTCCTTTTTGAGCTACCTACGGTTCACCCTCTTCCCCCCTCTCCCCACCAGCTCCCTTTGTACCTGCACAGTTGTAATTCCTTGCTCGCGACCGATCAGAACCCGGCCTTCTTGTAACTTGGCTACTTTGGATTCCTCCACCTTCATAAAGTCAGCCACAAGATCTGTGATGTCAAACTGCCACTCAGAGCCAAGCATGTAGGTTAGCTGGCCTCCAAAATCAGACGATTCTGCCACAAACTGAGTCAGCACACGCACTGTTGCATGCTGGTACTGAAGGGTGCAACCTCGGCCTTTCTTCTCATCATCCTCTTCCTCATCGCTGTCACGGGTAGGCCTTTAAAACATACACATAACCAGATGCTGAAAAGTTGCTTCTTAAAAATTCACTCATTGCCATGTTGGAAAATTAACTTTTAGTCTTATTGTCCTTACCTCCTGCAGAGAATTACCATACCACCTCTCTTGCCTCATGGACTTTTAAAAACCAGAAGCACAGGATGGGTTATTCACATCTTTTGATCTGCCAATGCTCACTGTACGTATGTTTTGCTTCATAAGACAAGCTTTGCATGACTGCATAACGTTTGGGGGGAAAGTGTTCCTTGTCTCATTCTTGCACTGGAGGCAAGAAATCTTACAGAGCTCAACACCTCTGCCTCACTGAGAATGAGTAATTTTGCAGGAGTTCCTCAAATTTCTGACATTTCCAAACTACAGTATTTGAAATGTTTGCAGGCTGACTGTTTGTGGACGTTCTGTGACATCTGTCAACAGTTAGAAGGGCTTACAGTCTGGTGGGCGGGCAGCCTTTACGCCTATGCGTACTTGAGATCCAAAACATAAATTTTTAGCTTCAAATTTGTGATGCTTTCTAAACCACCGTCGCCAGAAAAGAGCCACAGTTGCTTCGTCCTCCTTCGTTCGCTCCATCCCTTGCAAGAAAGGCATAAACCTCCATGAGGGGATAATTATTTTCCTGCCACATAATGAATCAAAATAAATGTTCTTGTTAAGATTATCAGCCTATGCCTGCCTGGACTTCCATTCTTCCTCCCCTCTTTCTCCTATTTGACTTTAATTTAAATTTATTCCTTTCATTTGCCACGATGGTAGGCTTTTTGACTGTTCATTTCACGACTAGGTTTTTCTATTAGCCGAGTGCTGCTCAAGGGTGCTGTGCAGTACATTAGTCAAGAGCGCACACCTATCTGTAGAGAGCAGATTTCCATCTGGAAGAGTGGGCCGCTGATATTGACAGTGGCATATACCCAGATTAAATTATGATTCTCCTATCTACTGCAAATAACGAGAAAATTCCTCCATCTATTTATGGATTCGTATGAGAAGTGCTACTTCTCCTGGTAGACTTCTTTTATTTCCCTTGATGTGAAGGATCCAAATCCTGAATTTCCTCAAGTTTGGGCTTGAAATTAATTTCCCTTGCAGTGGCCAAAATCCTGGGGTGCAGCTCCAACCGAGCGACAGGAATGACATGAGCGACGGCAGCAGCAAAAAGTTGCTGCTTAAAAAATCTCTTATTTGGACTGCATGGTGCACACATCTCACGTGCAATAAGACAAATTCATGTATACCCCGAAATTGAAAAAGTGAGTCTTTAATCAGCAGTGATCTGCTGAAAATGACATTTCCATTATGCAGGCAGAATCCGCCCAACAGGATTTCAGGCAGTAAAAGCAACAGGTCGACCAAAACAAAAATCAGTGGGTAGATTCAATGCCAGTGGTTTCTGTAAAGTCTCTCTAGGGAGTATCCTATTTGAGGTTCATTTTTTAAAATATAAGAAGCTGCCTTGAACTAAGCCAAAGCCGCTCGTCCATCCAGAGTGACAGACTTTCCAGCGTTTCAGAGAGGAGTCAGACAGTTTGTGGAGCAGAAGTTGGAAAGTTATTTTTAAAAAGTAACTAGTTGCAGTAACAACGTGTAGTTCCCATGACACCCAGCATTTTAAAGTAACTCCTTACTTTTCTGTTTCTCAAAAGCAACTGAAATAGTTGGTGTTGTAGTTGCTTTTTAAAGAAATGAAAGCATCTATAAAAGACAACAATCATCTTGCTGTCTTTTCAGCATTGCTTCCAGAACAGGAGGGGCCACACAAGACAGGTTTTGAACCATGCAATATTCTCTGTCCACCTGTAGTGAAGCCTCCCTAACTACAAAAGGAACTAAAAAGTTACAGTTACACCCCAAGAGAAATGAAATCATCCACATGGCATTCAAGTCCTACTGAAATGTAGCTATGCCTTAGATGTTACAAAAAGGTATTTGTAACAAGAAACTAGTTATTGCCACCTGCTGCCTTGGACATCAAATCAAGGGGCGGGATTGAATTTATGACATTCTACAAAGCATGTGCTCCGTCACGAAGGTTTCGGAGTAGGAAGGTGTGAAATCTGACTCTATTATTTTTTGCACAAGGGCATCCATTGATAAGAAGACTTATCTGGCAAAACAGATAAACAGTGTTCAGCTACCATTTCAAAATCATTATTTGCACTCTTCTCTGCAAATATTTTTAATCCTCTCCACTATAAGGAGCACTGCATTTGATCGTTGTTTTGCCACTTTTCCCTGAAGCAACTTGGGACAGCTGATGCGGTCCATAACCCAATAGATTTGACAGCTGAATGGGAATATAATACTGTTCCGAATCCAATTTGCATGTGTGAGCAATTGTGTGTTTTACTCTTAATGCAAGTCCAAGCATATCCGGCAAGTCCAATTGATTGTTTTGATTCTGTGTTTGGGTGACTCCATTTTTATAGCAATGGTGAATCTGCTTTGGGTTTAATTCACTGGTTCTCAATATTTTTTTTAACTCCTGTCTCCCTTCACTTACAGGTCCAACGGCCACGGTTCCCCCAATACAATACTTTAGGGGGGAAGAGAAGGGAAGACGCCTGGCCTGAGTAGTACTTCTGAGGATCCTGTAAAGTACTTCCGAGGATTCCGTGGTGCCCCCGGTTAAGTTTGGCGCCTCGTCGGGGTGATACAGCACACCGTTTGGGAACCACTGGCTTAGTTTAAACTTTTGTGAAGGTATCCAAGGTGCTGGTTTTTAAATACTCTCCAGAATTGTTTCAGCACCTTGGAAAGCTCCTTTAATGTTCAGACCAAAAACGGAGAAGGGATTCTCCATTCCGACAAAATTAGAGACATCAACTTCTACTGCCTCACCTCTCCTTCACCCAAGCTGAACTGATTTCACAATTTTGAGCCAGCACCCATTAAGGCAGAATTCTCAGGAGGGGTTTCCTGAAGACTGAAACCTAGGCAGTTTTCTTTTTTTTAAAATCACAGCCAACCTGGCAACACTACAATTGGACAATTTGTTTGTTTCTTTCTTTCTTTTAAAGCCCAACTTTTTTGGACTCCTGTCTCCCTTGACTTACAGGTCCAACGGCCATGGTTCCCCCAATACAATACTTTAGGGCGGGAGGAGAAGGGAAGACGCCCAGCCTGAGTAGTACTTCTGAGGATCCTGTAAAGTACTTCCGAGGATTCCGTGGTGCCCCCGGTTAAGTTTGGCGCCTCGTCGGGGTGATACAGCACACCGTTTGGGAACCACTGGCTTAGTTTAAACTTTTGTGAAGGTATCCAAGGTGCTGGGTTCTAAATACTCTCCAGAATTGTTTCAGCACCTTGGAAAGCTCCTTTAATGTTCAGACCAAAAACGGAGAAGGGATTCTCCATTCCGACAAAATTAGAGGCATCAACTTCTACTGCCTCACCTCTCCTTCACCCAAGCTGAACTGATTTCACAATTTTGAGCCAGCACCCATTAAGGCAGAATTCTCAGGAGGGGTTTCCTGAAGACTGAAACCTAGGCAGTTTTCTTTTTTTTTTAAATCACAGCCAACCTGGCAACACTACTCTACAATTGGACAATTTGTTTGTTTCTTTCTTTCTTTTAAAGCCCAACTTTTGACAGCTTTATTGGAAGGCTGGACTTTTGTGAACACTCATCCACAAAAGTGGATGTTGGAAGGCAACACGTTTAGGCTGTTTTCACAGCAAGTGGCTTCCTCTTTCCATTATGTTTTTTTTCAGGGGAGAGATGTGCCCAGTGACTTGGTAGTAATCTGAATAGCTGCTGGTGACAATAGCTTGCCAGCTCACAAACAACACCAGGGCTAGAGTAACTCTTTCATTTCAGCTGGCTCAATAAATAGTAATAGACACCTGGGGGGGTGAAATTTCAAACACTCGCCTAACGAGTTTGAAAGTCTGAATGCTCGCGATGGCTACTGACTGTGGAAATGCATGACCGGCTGCGTCTTTTTGATGGGAGGTTTAGTCCTGTAATGGATATATCGCCACAAACGGCCCAGCAGACATTTGTTCCACCAAATGCCCAACAATACAGGAAGGGGAGGCAACCAGATGAGGCCCTTCATCAGCTGAAGAATGGGTTTGTTCTTTCTGTTTCCCTCAATGCCAGAGATAGCCATCAAAATACCCTCAAGTTCTGTTAAAGCTCAGCACCTGGTACGTACTGTTGTTTCATTCTTCGATGAGACCCCAGAGCTGACAGGAGGACCATACGTACATCCAGAAAGTGTCCAAACCTGATCTGTCACAAATAGGATAGAACCATATGTCTCTTGACTATAGCGGTGGAAGACCAGCAGCTTCATGAGAAGTAATATGCAGACAAATGGGTTTGATATAGTAGAGAGAAGTAATATAGTATAGAGAAGCTATAGTATAGAGAAGTAATATGCAGACAAATGGGTTTGATGGAAGAAGGACATACAAACATGGAAGTCTCTATGATGTCCGCACAGATCCCTTGAAGTGGCTTTGACCACAGCATGAGGCAGAAATCTTTTGGTTTCCAGATGTTTTGGGTTATAAGTCCCATTATCTCTTACCAGTGGCAACACTGGATTTTAGACATAGGATCTTTGGATTTTTGGATTACAAATCCCATCATTCTCCATTCTGGATGTTCCATCTGACTGATGCAGAAATTTTACATGTGAATCGCCTGGAGCAGTGGTCCCCAACCTTGGGGCTTCCAGATGTTCTTGGACTTCAACTCCTAGAAATCTTGGCCAGCTGAGGTGGTGATGAAGGCTTATGGGAGTTGTAGTCCAAGAACATCTGGAGGCCCAAGGGTTGGGGACTACTGGCCTGGAGAACCGGCCTAGCTGGGAAAGCCTATCTCTCCTTAGCTTCCTGTTCAAGAAGGAAGATCCGGGCAAATAGTGAGGCAGATTCTTTTCTGCACAGGAAACAAGGGCAGATTTAGGCTTTGAACCTTTTCCAGCTGGGCCTTTTCTCCAAGTGAGTCACATTCAAGTGTCTGTGGATGTTGGCCTGTCAGGTGGAACCCCTAAAATGAAGACTTATAAGATTTGTAGTCCCCCCAAAAAATCTGAAAATCCCATGCCTATTGGAGAGAGGCTTGTAAGAGTTGAAGTCCGGAATAACTGGTGGCCCAAACGTTGTCCATCTTGGAATAGCAGATAGCTTCCCCAAGTATCTCGCCTCTTTGTTTTCTCAACCCTTGATTGATCTAAGAGTAACAGAAGGCAACACAAAGACTGAAAACGCTCCTCCACAAAAGACGGCATTTAGGCAAAACGCTCACAGAGGCTCCCAACAACTAAATGAAAAATTGAGAGAGAGACAGAGAGAGAGATAAAAACCATCCAAAGCCTACATTCAAACCCAGCCCTGGACAGTTCTTTGGCAAGTTGAGGAGCACGGTAATTAAAATATAACACCAGATTTTTTACACATATATCTATGAAGCAGATTTGCATGCTAAATGCTCACAGCTAGCGTTGCCAGGCCCCATATTTACAGCCGAACACTTCTGACTACCAGATGCTGAGGGTTAGCGGCCAGGGATAGATCCTATCACCAGCATGCAGAGTTGGTGAACCTTCTCCAGGCATCTGACCGGCCACTGCTGGTGGACAGGATACTCAGGGAGACCGGTGGTTGGATTGAGTGGATGCGTCAAGGGGAGAACCGTTACCTTTTGTTAGAGGTGACAGGAATCCGCCAGCCTTTGATCTGGCTCAACTCAGTGTCTGAGATCTCTATTTGAAGTGGGAGACGCGGAACCCACACGGTGATTTCTAGCTGGGTAGTAAAATGCTGGTAAGTGAAGTTCACAACAGTGTCGACTTTGCTCTTCATTTCTTTCCCATTCACAAAGATGGCGTCACAGTTGTCCGAAACCTTAGAAAGAGTAAAAGTGGGGGAAAGCTCAAGATCAGTTATATGTAGATATATGCACACATATAAGATAGAGTTGGCTTAAAGTTTCTTCAAAATAACTGCAGTTGGTTCCGTCAACCAAGCAAGAAATCTACAATTTCTCCAATAAGATTCACACCATTTCCTCCATTATGAGCCCATTAGTTCTCTAACTCATTGTGTTCTCCCTTCACCGGTCTACTCATTACCACCAGCAAAGTGCACAAGATTTGATTCTTGACGTGGCGGCCCAGCCAGGTAGATCGATGCCCAGCCCCGCCAAATCATCTATCAAAAGTAGTTTCCTAATTGTGATTCAAGGAACCATGATACTCTTTAGAAGTTTCTCGGGGCACCTCATTGAAGAAAAACACATGGTAGCTAAGCTTCTTTGAAAGGTATCTGCATCTTCATGTAACTTCTTGTGCAATGGGAACTCACATGAGTGGGTGGGAGGAGGTGTGATGTATTTTGCCTTATATTCTGACCAAGGAAAAAGCTAAGAGGTCAGATCATCTTCCTTCATTAATTAAATGTTGCTCCCAAAATGTACTCCAGAATATACTTCAGTGCACAGGAATTTTTAGATGGAGGAACCAATGTGGAGTTCAACTACCATGTCAACACAGTGACAAAGGAAAGAATGCATGGCATTCTAACATGACAACAAAATGGAGCACCTGGGTTGAGATGATGTATGTCTCCAGCTAACATCTTTAGGGAGGTAACAGTGGGACAGTGCTTCCATGTGCTTGCAGTGCTCCAGTAACTAACATCAATGTGCAGGCAAACATCATGAAGAGCCTCCTACCCATAACTCCGAGGAGACTCCAGAAATCCAAGCAACTGCCTTAATCTTTATCCACAAACCAGTTCTAGCCATAATGGTAGGAGGTCTTGATTGTTTGGACTACAAATCCCATAATTCTGCCTTCTTAGCGTTCAACCTGATGGAAAGGCACCATACAAACACGTAATGATTCTGCCTTCTTAGAGTTCAACTTGATGGAAAGGCACCATACAAACACGTAATGTGGCTCACCTGAACAGAAAGGCCAGAACTGGAAGACTTTGATGCATAATTAGGCTTAGGTCCGTCAAAGCTTCCTGTTCCTGCCCTGCTGCTCTCTGAGAGCTTCCTTCCTGAACAGGAAGCTAGGCAGAGCTAGGCCTTTGCCCTGCTGCTCTCTGAACAGGAAGCTAGGCAGAGCTAGGCCTAGCTAAGCCTCAGAGCAAGGCCTAGCTAGGACTCTTTAACCCCCCCCTTCCATATCAGAGGCTATGTTACATCTCTCCACTAAGACCACCGAAAGAATATTAATCCTGTCAGAAACCAATGCAAACTTTGCCAGTATTCCTTCAAAAAAAAAATCCCACAACGATCCATAAGAATGCCAACGCTGACACCAATCAAATTTTATATTTACAGCTTAGTTAGAGAGATATGCTCATGGAGGAGGGGGGTGCAGTTTCTGAGACTCATAAACCAGAATGATTTCTCTCTTTATATATATATACAAGGACAGTAAAAAGCTGGTGCCAAAAAATGATCCTTTAATGAGTCATAATGCATTCTCTGAACATGGCGTGTAAAATGTAATTGTCCAGATGCTTCAAGTCATAACTCAGTCCATATGGATCTGAGGAGGTAGCAGACTGAGAAGTTTCTTCCGGACTTGAAATGTGTGTCCTGGTGGTAACCATACCATGGAGCGCTAGGTCGAAGGCGATTCTGTTTTGTGCATTCTCACTGAGCCTTAGGTTGCGTTTAGCTGAGGGAAGAATCACAGTCTTTCTTCCAAGGCTTGATTTCCACCATCCTGTTGTCCTCCTCTGAACCTATTCCATTTTGCTGACATCCTTCTTAAAATATGGTGTCATCTCAGCTCTAACATTGTACAGGATTTCGGTTGGTGCAAAAGGGGAGGTGAGAAAGTCAACTCCTGCGAGTGTACCCCTTCCAAACTCCCTGGCCAGAAGTAAACTTGGTTAGCAGAAGACCTAACCAGGTTTAGCTCAGTTCTAATGTCCAGCTTGAAGCGGATCAGACTCGGCCACGCTTAAAGTATCCACTTCCCTCCATGATGACTTGTCACTTAAGCCCTCCGATCAGCTCCTCATTGCTTATCTCTCTCTCTGGCTCTGAGCATCCTTAATTATCTCCATCTCATCTTAATTTGACCGCAACTCCCTCGTCGCACCGCCTTTATGATGTAGCGTATCAGCCAGGCTTCCTATTAATAGCCTTGATTAATGTGATTAAAGATTTCCCTCGACACCTGTGACACAGTGTAAGCAGAGAGGGACATGGGGCTTGATACGCTGGATCTCCAGTTGTCTTTAAGAGGGGAAAGGATGCTTGAGGACAATGACTTGAACTACCTGCTGATGATGGACTGGGCTATTGATTTATCTCCCCTGTGGCCTTAATTCCTCTCTCCCACCTCATTTCTTGTTTCTGACCACCCCTTCTCTCTTTCTTACCTACTTGTTCGAAATCAAATCAGGGGCTTCCACATTTCTTGTCTACAGTTAAATGGATAACAGATCAGAAGGTCTGGGATATATTTTTTAAATGGCGCTCACCCCATTCGACAATGGCAACAAAATGGCACGCCATGTAGTCTGCACAGACACCAAAATGGTCTCCCTTCCTTTCTCCGCAGACAGCATTAAAAAATGGCCCAGATTCTCAGATACCATTTTCCACCCTATGCAGACAGGACAAGAAAGGGCTCCATCTTCTTGCCTGTTCCATTAAGTAAGGGGGGGACATTGTGTGGGCTGTGCAGAAAGGATCGACCCCCATGTTGCTGCTTGTCCAAACTGGAATGTGCAACATTTTGCTGCCAATGAAGAAAGAAAAGCGGGAAAATATGGTTGCCTTTAAAAAAGGTAAAGGCATCATTTTCTTGCATATGCAGAAAGTAATGAAGGACATTTAGTTTCTTCTGCAGAAAGTAAGGGGAGCCATTTTGTTGCCTGTGATGAAAGGAAGCAGTGCCATTTTGTTGCTTGTACAGAAGGAAAGGAGAGCCATTTTGTTTTCTGTTTGGACAGGCGGGGGTGCCATTTTGTTTCCAGTTGAGACTGGAAAGAGAGCCATTTTGTTGCCTGTGATGAAAGGAAGCGGTGCCATTTCGTTGCTTGTCCAGAAGGGAAGGGGCGCCATTTTGTTGCCTGTGCGGACAGGATGGGGTTCCATTTTGTTCCTACACAAATTGGAAAGAGTGCCATTTTGCTGCCTGAATAGCAAGGATAGGATGCCATTTTTTTGCCTGTCGAGACAGGCCAGGGTGTCTTTTTCTTGTCTGTTCAAAAGGATGGTGCTTCGTTTTGTTTCCTCTGCCGAAAGGATGGGGTGCCATTTTGTTGCCAGTGCAGAAGGGAAGGCTAGCCTTGCTGCCTGTGGGCACATGTCCACTGCTCAGCTGAGCAGGGTGTGCATTTCTGCATAGAAGGCATAGGAGGTCGCGCTGTCTTCAAGACAAGCCAGAGGGGTGATGGGAGCAGAGGGAGAGGCTGGGTGACCTGTTTTGCCAAAGCAAAATGAGGTGCTGAGCGGAATTACTTTTGGCACTTCATCTCATTTCAACAAAACAGGACCCACAAGCCAAACCACAATCATTGTTTTTTCTGATTCTTGGTTTGGTTCATGCCCATCTCTAGTTGTGACCGTTTGTTAGCCTTGGTCTCTAAGGTCCATTAAAACACGTAGAGCCATTTGAGTGACGTTGGTCAAGAAAATCCTGTCTGTCCAGACAGGCAGGGGCGCCATGTTGTTTCCTGTTGAGACTACAAAGAGAGCCATTTTGTTGCCTGTTCAAACAGGAAGGGGCGCCATTTTGTTGCCTGTGATGAAAGGAAGTGCCATTTTGTTGCTTGTACAGAAGGAAAGGAGAGCCATTTTGTTTTTTGTTCAGACAGAAGGGGTGCCATTTTGTTTCCAGTTGAGACTGGAAAGAGAGCCATTTTGTTGCCTGTTGGTTCATGGCCATCTCTAGTTGTGACCGTTTATTAGCCTTGGTCTCTAAGATCCATTAAAACATGTAGAGCCATTTGAGTGACGTTGGTCAAGAAAATCCTCCAAGATGGGAAAGCTGCCTCTTAGCTCTCAATCTCGGCTCGGAGAGTCCCCGTTGGTTTGATATAATGTGAGGAATATTTTAGAAGCTTTCACCATTGGAAGTCCGATCCAAAAATTGAAAAGACAAAAACAATTGAAAGAAGAGGAGAGGAAACAGACTTGTGTTGTGGTTGTACAAATTGATATTTTCATGTTCCATGTATTTTAAAAAAAATTCTCATTACATTGCTGGCTTCAAACAAAGGAGTCAAGGAATCCACTTTCAGGATACAGCCTCAGAAGTCAACATTAATCGACGATGGTTAAAAGAACATAAACTTTGATGTCTGTATCTTCTCGTAGCCCTTCACTGTGCCATCCTCAAGTTGAATTCTACAATAGTGGATAGAGGTAATAACCATAATTATGAATCAGAATATAATAGGATTTATTTTTTCATTGTTCCAGGAATTTTTATATATATATATATGCCCTGTAAAAAGAGAGGAGAGATCAGTGAGCAAGCTTAAGGTGATCTTGAAGTTGAAAACTTTAAATGTGGCTTCAAAGTAGTGATGAATGAATAGACTGGACTGCGCATGTTTAGCCTTGAGAAAAGAAGAGGGGGGGGAGGGTAGCACTTTTCAAATACTTGAAAGACAATCATACAGAGGAGGGGCGGGATCTCTTCTTGATCATCCCAGAGTGCAGAACACATAATTATTGGCTCAAGTTACAGGAAGCCAAATTTGGGCTGGATATCAAGAAAAATTTCTTGACCGTTAGAGCGGTATGACAATAGAACTGATAACCTCGAGAGATGGTTACGAACATCTCATTTTACTAAGACAGTTATCATGTTGCAGAAATTTGCCATTCATATTCCACAGAGGGGGCAGCCTTTGCATTTATGCAA